TTTGATGTGTGTCTGTATGCGATATGCAAGTGTCTTGTTGAGAATCTTTGCATCTTTGTTCATTAAGGATATGGGTCTATAGTTTTCTTTTTTGGTTGTGGCCCTTTTCTATATCTCTTTTCTTCCCTGCAGTGTTATATTTCAGAGTTCATCTGTGTTGTTGCATGTTGTCAACACTTTATTCCTTTTTATCCTTTCTTCAGTTGATGAATATTTGAGTTGATACTTTTGCTGTTATGAATAATTTTGGTGTGAATGTTGGTGTACAAATTTTGTGTGTACATATGTTTTTATTCCTTTTAGGACTGGATCCAGAAATAGAATTGTTGTATCATATAGTAACTCAGCTAAACTGCTGTCCAAAGTGGATACATCCTTTTATGATGATGATTCACAAATCACATTTGAGGGTCCCGGTTTTTCTACCTCTTTGTCAGCACTTTCTGTTTTCTGTCCTTTGACCGCAAAAGTGATGTAGCATTATGATTTCTACTTGTATTTCCCTGCCAAATGCTGTACTTGAGCATCTTTTCAGGTGCCTTGTATGTCATTGTCCTTGTGAAAATATCTGGTTCAGTTCTTTGTCCAAGGAAAATGAAGATTGAACTATTTATAGCTTTTGTCAATCTGCAGGACTTCTTCCTATATTCAGACACATAGTCGGCAGATCTTTTCTTCTATTCTCTGGGTGTATTTTCATATATACAAAAAGTTTCTATTTTTTAAAATTAAACCTATTTTAATTTTTTTTGGTCACTTCTACTTTTGGTATTGAATCTTTAAAAAAAATCTCATTTAAGGTCAGTAAGATGTATGTGTAGTGGTTTCACTCTAAAACTGAGGATTTTGATATATTTTAATTGACTTCTATATGTCATCTGAGGAGTGGGCCCAAATTAGTCCTTTTGCATGTGGACTATCAGGCATCCCAGCACCATCTCTTGAGGTGGCCATTCTTCCCACATTTGATTGACTTGGTATCATCTTGATTGAAATCAATTGTAAAAAAAAAAGTTATATTTCTGGGCTTTTAATTCAGTTCAATTTATCTGCATTTCTAACCTTATTCTAGTATCAAGCTGTCTTGATTGCTCTAGTTTTGTAGTAAGTTAATAAATTTTGAAATTGGAAAGTGTGGATTTTTCAACTTTGTTCTTTTTCTTTTTTCATATTTATTTTTATTTTATGTCTGTGAGTATGAGTGTAAGTGCACCCATGTCACGCAGTGCCTGCAGAGGTCAAAAGAGGATGTCAGATTCCCCTGGAACTGGAGTTACAGGTGTTTGCTAGCCACCATGTGGGTGCTGAGAATCGAACCCCCCTGCAGCTTTGTTTCTTTTCAATATTCTTCTGTTTGTTCTCAGTCTTTCTGAATTTTAATTGACTTGTCAACTCCTTAAAGAAAGGTAAGTGAACGCTGGGCATGGAGGGTGCGCCTTTAGTTCCAGCACCGGGGAGGCAGAGGCAGGTGGATCTCTGTGAGTTCAAGGCTAGCCTGGTCTACATAGTTCCAGGACAGCTGGGGCTACAGGGAGACCCTGTCTCAAAAAGACCAAAAAAAGAAAACAAAAGGTAACTGATGCTTGGTCTTGTTTATGAAACCATATTGTTGAGATTTCATGGGTACAGTATCCCTATTATGTCCAGAAGACACTATCTGGCAACAATCCTCTGATCCTCTTTCCCCACGCCCTTCTGCAATGTTCTCTGAGTCTTAGCTGTAGGGGTTATACTACAGATATCTCAGTCACTTATTCTCTGCGTTTTGGCCAGTTGGGGAATCCCTAATAGTCTCTATCTGTTACAAAAGAAGTTTCTGGGCGTGGTGGTGCACACCTGTAGTCCCAGCACTTGGGAGGCGGAGGCAAGCAGATCTCTGTGAGTTCAAGGCCAGCCTGGTCTACATAGTTCTAGGACAGCTGGGGCTACAGGGAGACCCTGTCTCAAAAAGACCGGAAAAAAAAAAAAAAAGTTTCTTCAATGAGTGGTGACAGCTACATTTATCTATGGGTATAATGATAAGTATTTAGAATACAGTTAGAAATTATATTGGTTTAGGAAAATGACAGTAGTAGGTTGTCCTCTAGGGTCTATGACCTCTCCAGCTGTGGCAAGTTGGCCATGTTTCCAGCACCAGGAATGAATTCCCTCTTATTGAGTGGGCCTACAGTCCAATTAGACAGCTCTTAGTTATCCCCAAGATAAAAGTGCCAATATTTCACCATTAGGGATGTTTTGCTGGGCTGGTCATTATTGTGATTCATAGGTTTTACAGCTTAGTAGGACGGTTGACTGCTTCTCTCCCTTGGCAGCTTGCATAGCACCTTTGGATACGAGAACTAGTCCTCAGGGAGGAGGCTTCCAGGTCAGTTCCAGCTCCATTCCTCCAAGTCCTGTGTCCAAAGTGCATGGTGTCTTCAGCAATAGGTCTTGCCTCAAGTTCTGGGAGGCAACTAAAGCCAATAACAATAGCCTATATTGTTTTGGAAGTCTCTTGGGCTACCCTGGCCAACAACTGAAAGGGAGATTTCCCATGCCTAGCACACAGACACACTCTTAAGTAACTTTATAAAGTAACATGTTTCCCTAGAGCTTTTTCAGATATCCTTATTATTAATCTCTCCTTCCCCCTTTCCCAGTTAAAGTCTCCCCTCCACCATCTTCTCATTTCCCTTTTAATAGCACCTGTGTCTTACTGATTATAGGTCAGTTGTTTAGACCTTTTAAAATAACTTGCAGTGGGGCTTTGAGAACTTCAGTATACTTGTCATGTGCCTCATATTTATTTCTATGTTTTGTTCTTGGTGCTACTGTAAGTTGGATTGGTTTATTTTTTAGATTTTCTCTGCTAGTGTACAGAAAGGCTGTGTGTGTGTGTGTGTGTGTGTCTGTCTGTCTGTCTGTCTGTCTGTGTACATGTGTGGAGGTAGAGGACAACTTCAGGTGGCATTTGTTACTCAGGCACTGTTTACCTCTTCTTAAAATTTTTTCAGACAGGCTTTCATTGACCTGAAACTCACCACATAGGCTTGACTGGCTGACCAGCAAGCCCTGGGGACTCACTTGTCTACATCTCCCCCATGCTAGGATTGCTAGTACACCCCACCAAGCATTCTCAGCTTTTTAAAGACAGGGCCTCACTATGTAACCCTGGCTGGCCTGAAACTCGCCATGCACACCAGGTTGGCCTGGAACTCACAGAGATCTACTTGCCTCTGCCTTCTGAGTTGTGATATTAAAGGCCTATGCTACCATGCCCAGCCAGCTTTTATACATGGAGAAGGTTCTGGGAATTGAACTCGGGTTCCTGTGCTTACAAAACAAACACTTTACTGACTAAGCTATCTCCCCACCCCTTTTAATTTTTTATAATGATCTTATAACCTACAACCTTATTGAACTCATAATTAGCTCTCCCGTTTTTGTTTGTGGATTTCTTCAGTGTTCTACATAAAATAGCTGTTTGAGTAGAGATAATTTTACTTCTTTTTGTTTCTAGTTAGAAAATCTAGTGTCAAGAGCTAGCTTCGAAAAAAAAAAAAAAGCTAGCATTCTGGTCTTGTTCCTATACTAAATGCATTAATTTTCAGACTTTCATTACTAAATATGTTGGTTTTTATAAGTGCCCTTTATCAGGTCAAGGAGATTCTTTTTAATTCTTACTTATTATGTGTTTTAATCATGAGAGGGGTTGGGTTTTTTTTTTTCAATATTTTGTGTTTCTGTTTAGGTGAACATTTGTGGAGCTTTTTTTAATCCTTTCTTCTGTGAACAGACTTATTGATTTTCATATATTAAGCCAGCCTTGCGTTCCTCCCACTGGTTAATGACATAGTGTTCCCTGACATGGTGGATTCCACCCTGAACTAATCAAATATCCATGCTACAGACCCAAGAGTCTTCATAGACCCCTCCTTTCCCTTATCCCTTATGTTCCTTTTAATTCTTCCACCCTGATGCCCAGAGTAGGGTTTTTTTTTCCATTTAAAGGTGAATCTGATACTTTAAACTCACTTGTACAAAAATTTATCATGTAGAAATTTATTTTTGTTCCTGCCTTCTGCTAGTGTACATACATAGACCTTTATAGACTGTTAGATTTTTGTCTTACTTTTAAAGCCTTGTAGACCCCTTTCTGTAAAATTCTACTTGACTTTTCTGTGTTCTGTAATGAGATTTGTCATTTACTAGTGCCACAGTATGAACTTTACTCAGTGCCATTTTGGATGTCCATTTACTCAAATTATTTTTCTTTTTCCTTAATATGTGTGTGTATGTGGTTTGTATGTGTTTATGTTTGCATGTGTGTGGGCACACATGTTGGGATGCACGTGCATGTGAGGGGGGGGCTTATGGAAGCCTGAGGTTGATTTTGGCAATCACTCTTCACTGTTCTGCAACCTTATTCAGTGAGGCAAGTTTTCTCAATCAAACCCAGATGATGTAACTCAGTGATGTGGCTAGTCTAGCTAACCAGCCTCCTTTGGGGATCCCCTATCTCTGCCTTCTAAAGCTGGAATGACAGGTAGGATGCCGTGTCCATTGACATTTAGTAGGTTCTGGGAATATAAACTCTGATCTTCATCTTGTGTGGCAAGTGTTTAACTCTGGAACCATTTCACCAGCCCCAGACTTAGGCTAATACTACAGAAAAGGAATGGTAAAATGGGTGAGGAAGTTCACCACATGAAGTCCAAATGAAAGAATGGCATGTGGTAGGTTGTTATAGTTTGTTGCTATGCATGTTTATTTCTTGTGAGAATTCTTTTCTGAGTTTACACATACATTATATATGTAGGGATCCTGGAGCTATACTTAGTTTATCATTAACTATGAAATGTAGTGTTAATTCTTAGCATGCATTTTTTTATAGAAGTTAAGATGTATAAAGCTTAATGTTCATATTAGTATATGCAAGTATTATATGTACCAAATGCTTTAAAAGTTTGGTAAGCAATTTTCAAGTTTTATTATTTACTTATGTATTCTTTATTTTGTAGTCTTGCACTGCATCCTGAACGAGTATTGGTAGCCACAGGACAAGTTGGGAAAGAGCCTTATATCTGTGTTTGGGATTCATACACTGTGCAGACCATATCAGTTCTAAAGGATGTTCATACACATGGTATAGCTTGTTTAGCATTCGATTTAGATGGACAGGTATGTGATAATTTTTCTTCTTTTTCTACATTATGATTTTAAAACGTATGCTATAAGAATTATTATACATCTATAAATATAGAATTGAAAAATAATTGATTAAAACTGTTGATCCAAAGGTAGAGAAATATGCATGAAATGCGTGAATGACTTAAATAATAAAAATAAAAACAATAAGGGGTGTTAATTTCATCATTATCAATAACTTTCTCAAATTATTATCCAAAAAGCTAAAGAACTTCTGACTTGGTGGAATTTTACTTGTTTCAGAAAATTGTGTATGTTCTTTTCTCCAGGTAAGGCATTTGGATAGGACAGGTGGAAGACATCTTAAGTAGAACTATGTATTTTTATTTTCAGTTGCTTTAGAGGTTTTTCCCTTATAATTACATTTTTATTGAAAATGAGACAATTCTATGAGTTATTTTTATGCAAAATCAAAACAAAGGATGTAAATATCACCCCACTGACTAATCAGTTTGCAAATTACTCTCAAACAAGCCAAGAGTTTTCTGTGGCTCTGATATAAAAGTTGGTATGCCTAAAACTTATTTTTAAAGTGGTATGATTAATTTGTAATTGTTAAATATTTTGTGTTAAAGGTAGATTTTTAAATCATTTTAACTTTTTGAAAAACTTTACTTACTTGCATTTCATTATTGTAGATCTAGATTTTGCCAAAACAGATATGTTCTATCCCACAGAAAACAATAGCCAGTAGATATTTCATATATTATTCTGAGGCATAGTTTCTTTGAATAGTGTAGATTTGTGTGACTTTCTGATAAGGCATCTATAAAGATCTCAGTGGACCCTCCTAGGGAAAATATGATTTTAGGTTTAATAGTAATGAGTGATTCTAAAAACTTAATTTGTCCCACTTTTGCTAGTATCTTTCAAGTCCTGTCAGAATTTAATTTTCTTCTAAAAGGGAACATTCTTTCCTACTTCAAATTAAGAATATGTTTGAGCAAACATACCTGTTTGTAAACTTCTTATAAGATACAAAGAACAAAATATTGTCTAATAGTTTCATTTTCTGCTATATTTGAAACTGTAAAATTTAGAATTTATCCAATCAATTAGTTTCTTATTAGGCAATAAAACTGAATATTCTTTTCCCATAGGCTTCACCACATGAAGTCCATATTAATACTAACATTCTGAAGCCAGGTGTGGTGTTCATGCCTTTAATCACAGCACTTGGGAAGCAGAGGCAGGTGGATCTCTGTGAGTTCCAGGCCAGCTGGGGCTACAAGGAGACCCTGTCTCAAAAAGACCAAAAAAAAAAAAAAAAAAAAAAGCTAGCATTCTGCCTTATTGAGCATAATTAAGGCCTGAAAAGGCTATTTACATAAATGTATATGAAATAAAGACTGACATCTCATACAGCAAATGGGAGGGGCTGGGGGATAAACTCACCTCACACTTTATCTTAAAATATAACCATATGTTATGCAAACATGCTTCTCATTCTTTTAAAAATCATGTGCTTGTGTGTGTGATACATATCATTGTGTGTTTTTGTGTGTCTGATGTGTATCAGCATGAGTATGTATAAGTATGCTTACCTGTGTGGGCATGTGTACGAGGCCAGTGGTCAACATTGAGATGTCTTCCTCAATCACTTCTGTCCACCTTGTATTTTGAGACAAGATTTCTCTTAGAGCTTGAAATTTCAGCAAGACTGATTGACCAGTGAGTCTCTGGGATCTGTCTCTCTCTGTCCCACAGAGCTGGGATTATAGGCTCATGCCTCAGTGCTCAGCTTTATGTGTAAGAGTTGGGGGTCTGAACTCATATCCTCATGCCTGCACAGCAAGCACATTACCCACTGTGCCATCTCCATTTAGTTTTTTTATTAATTAAAACCCGTTATAGCTAAAACTCTGCTAATCTATAGAACGAGCTCAGAATAAAGTAAATTTTAAGTCTGATTTTTGTGAAAAGTTCATAAGCTTACACAAAATAAAATGTTTCAGTTTGCCTTTGACTTTCAGTACATGATTGTAAGGAGAATCATTTTTGCAAAATGGCATGTGCATGGAGATAAGTCAGCCCTGGGGTTTGCAAATGGTCTAAACAGATTTCAAATGTATAGTTGTTCAGTTTTCCTTCCTTCCATTGTTCTTCGAGATCTTAACTTATAGTGGCTTTACTGTAATTTACCAGTATTTACTCCATTTAGGCCTGCATCTTCTGTAAAATTTGTAATTTTACTTTGTAACAGTAAAATGATTAATTACAGAATAAACAATGAGACCACAAGGCCCTCCATAATAAAACAAGAGTGTGTCCTTTGTTTAAATTTGTTTCACAGTTGTAGGAAGTCATGGGATGCTTCTAGTGATTAGTAGAGTGCTGCTTCAGTTAATGGAAACAGGTAAGATTTTGTTTGGGAATAGTATCGGAAGAATTTTGAGGTAGAGGACTTATTACCTGTTTTTCTTCACTCTCTCTTATGCTTTGTTATCTTTTTCCTTCTGAGTTTTCTGCTTACTTAGATGTAATTGTGATAAACTGTATTCTATATATTATCTGAACTACTCATTAAGCCTATTTGATTTAAATCTACCTGGAGAAGCTGTTTCTAACTGGGTACTAGGTAGCATTTTTCCATTTGAGCAGAGTACCTGGAGTCTTAAAGCTAATTATGGTTTGTAATAAATGTAATAGTAATAACAATGAAGATAGTAAGCATTTATGTAGCATTAACAATATGCCAGACGGTCTTCTAATGCCTTATGTATAATATATGTTAACTTTCATATTACCCCATGAAGTACTTTTATTATCTTGTTTAATGTGTAAGGAAAACATGTACAGGGAAGCTAGATAACTATCTGAAGTCTCCTACACAGTAAAGCATGGTGTTCAACCCTGCTGTCATAATTTATGCTCTAAATGAAGTATTGGTAAACTCTTCATAACATATCAAGTAGTTAATATTTTAAGCTTTGTGATATACATGGTCTTTGCTATAGCTGTTGATATCTTTTTTTTGAGACAGGGTCTGTCATTGAACCTGGAGCTTGCTGATTTGGTTAGACTGGCTGGCAAAAAACAACCCAGGAATCCCTTGTCTCTACTCCTCAGCACTGCCACACTCTGCTTTTCTTTTTTCTTTCTATGAGTTTTGAGGCTTGAACCCAGGTTCTCATGCTTGCACAACATGAAGGCTGCTTCTGGTTTCAGATCTTCATGCACAGCTGCCCTTTCTTTAAAAAGGAATCACCGCTCTTCTGAGGATTCGTTTCTTTAGTCAGAGGTCTGCAGTTCAAACTCCATCTTTTTTTTTTTTAATTTTTACAAAAACTTAATTGAGAATTTCATAAATGTATATAAGGTATTTTGGTCAAATCCATGCCCACTCCCTCCCCTCCAACAGTCCCTCCTCTGAAGAGGAATTCGCTAAAATCTTTTAAGGATTAGATACAAGCTCCCAAATACTTTTGACATTTTTGGCCTTTGGAACAGAGTATGTTGCTAACATGCCCAAGGACATTTTGACTTTTAGCCAAGAAACTGGCTACATTTCTTTGGGGTCTTTTTACCCTAACTGCCTAGCCAATTCCTACCTCCTATTCTTATCACACCATCCTCTGAAGGGGTTACCCAAATTGCCAATAGGGAATAGGGACATCGACCACTCTGTCTTCTTCCATGCTGAAGAGAGATGCAGGGTGAGGCGCTCAGAGTACCTCTTCAGTGGGTCTATCTAAAAGACTCCCAAATTGCATAACTTTTGTCTCTAAAGGGAGAAGGTCCTTGAATCATGAATGAGAGATATGAAGGAGAAGTAAAGGCAAGAGTAATTAGCATTATAAGTTCTATACCAGGAGCTAGAAAAAAGTCAGAACAGGGTGATTTTCAAATGTTCATATGAGAGGCCATTGGAATTTCTTGACAGGGGCTTCCAAAAGCATCCCTCTATTGGGTTCCTCCTCATTTTTCTTTTGTCTTCCAAGGCTTAACTAGTTGGCTGGGAAGAGCGGCTGGATACTCAGGTGGGGGTCCAGTGACCCTGCTTGGCACTCCTTTAATGAACGCATACAACTGTCAGCCAGCCCAATTGTGACTATGTTTAGTGATAAGGCTCACTGAAGTCATGATGATGGTAGTTATTTCATGCAGAAGAGACTGCTGTATAGCATCTTCTTATTAAAAGGACCTGGAATTTAAAAAGAATTTGGTACTAGGATCCACATATGAGGGAAAACATATGTCATTTAATTTTTCTGAGTCTGTGTTTTCACTTAGTATAATAGTTTCTAGATTCATCCATTTACCTGCAAATTTCATTATTTCATCTTTCTTCACTGCTGAGTAGAATTCCATTGTGTAAATATACCACATTTTTTTAACCACTTGTCAGTTAAGGGGCACTTAGGTTGCTTCCATCTCTTAGCTATTGTGAAAAGAGCAGCAACAAACATCGTTGTACAAGTGTCTATAATAGGATGAGTCCTTTGGGTATATGCCAAGGAGTGGTATAACTGGGTCATATGGTAGGTTCATTTTTAGTTTTTTGAGAGTTCTCCACACTGTTTTCCATAGAGGCTGCATGAGTTTGCAATCCCACCAGCAGTGAATGAGCGTTCCCCTTTCACCACATCCTCGCCAGCATTTGGTATCATTTGTTCTCGTGCTCCTAGCCAGACTGATTAGGTATTGCCTGCATGTATGTCAGTGTACCTGTGTCCTGCAATGCCCATGGAGGCCAGAAGAAGGTGTCAGATCCCCTGGAACCTGAGTCATGGAAGGATGTTAGCTGCCATGTTGGTGCTAGGAATTGAACCTGGGTCCTCTGCAAGTTCAGTCAATGCCCCCAACCATTGAGCCCTCTTTCCAGCCCCAATTGCCCATCTTTTGATAATATTATTTTTAGTATTCAGGGTTTTGAGTTCTTTAGAAATTATGAATATTAATCTCTTGTCAGATGTGTAGTTGGAAAAATTTTTTTCTTCCATTCTGTAGGCTGCTTCCTTTGCTGTGCAGAA